ATAATAAAACCCAAACAAGAAAAAAAAAAAGAGAGAAACAGTTCAATAAAATCAGAGGTTGTAGGCAGATTTAAACATGTGTGTTTTGAGTTTTGTTTTGAAAAGGGTAAAACTGTCGATGTTCCTGATGTCTAGGGGAAGTGAGTTCCAGAGACGAGGAGACTGCTCCCCATGGTAGCGAGACGGGCAGAAGGAACTGCAAGATGGATGGAAGAAGAAGATCTAAGAGAACGGGATGGGGTGTGAATACTTATAAGGTCTGAGATATATGGAGGAGAGAGGTTGTGGATTGCTTTGAAGGTATGGAGGAGAATTTTGAAGATGGACCTGAATTTAACTGGGAGCGAGTGAAGCTGCTGGAGAACCGGGGTGATGTGGTGAAAGGAAGGGGTTCTGGTGATAATACGGGCTGCTGAATTCTGGACCAGTTGCAGTTTATGAAGGAGTTTGTTGGGGAGACCATAAAGAAGTGAATTGCAATAGTCGATATGGGAGGTGACGAGGCTGTGGACGAGAATGGCGGCAGTGTGAGGGGTCAGTGAGGGGCGGAGACGGTTTATGGAACGTAGATGGAAGTATGCTGATCGAATTATGTTATTAATGTGAGCTTGAAAAGAAAGTGAGCTGTCGAGGATGACACCCAGACTCTTGACGTTAGGGGAGGGGGAGACTATGGCGCTGTCAATAGTTAAAGAAAAGCTGTCAGATTTTGAGATGGTGGACTTAGTGCCAACTAGAAGAAGTTCAGTTTTATTGCCGTTGAGTTTGAGGAAATTAGAGGTGAACCATGATTTGATTTCAGAGAGGCAGAGTGTAAGGGAGGATGGTGGGAGAGTTGAGTTGGGCTTACTGGAAATGTAGAGCTGGGTGTCATCCGCAAAGCAGTGAAACTGGATATTGAATTTGCGGAAGATTTTGCCGATAGGGAGGAAATATACTATGAAGAGGAGGGGCCCCAGGACAGAGCCCTGGGGCACACCTGACTTGACTGGGGAGGGTTCTGAGGAAAAGGATTTTAACTGAATGAACTGAGTGCGGCCAGTAAGGTAAGATTGAAACCAGCGGAGGGGGGTGTGAGTGATGCCTAAGGAAGAGAGCCTCCAGAACAGCAACAAACTGCAGCACACTGCATCAGTGTTCCAAAGTCGTTGGCCTGCCTGTCAGAACTCTTGCTCAGGTTTTCTATCAACAAGCCCTGAGACAGGCAGCCAAAATCCTCCACAACCCCTCTCACATTCTTCACCCTGCATTTCAATGGCTCTCCTCTGGGCGATGCCTACGCTGCCTTTCCTGCAAGACTGAGAGGAGGAGAGCCACCTTTGTCCCCAAAGCCATTCTGCTCTTTAAAGCCGGGCGTACACTGTGCGACTTTTTCACTCGTAGCACTCAGCTTCAGCTCAAACTGTGGGACTTCCTCGCAGGGCAGATCTCACGAGTCATGTGCTCACACTGCACGACCCAGTTCTCGGATGCGATCTGACTGCTCACACTGTACGTCTGGTAGCAACACATCGGCCCAAAAATATGCTAAAAATAGCAGTTTTTACTCAACACGTCAGACTTTTTTGTCTTGTTTTGCCTGTTGTCCTTCGGGAGTGCTACAGGAGGACACACAGGGATTTATGGGGGTTGGATGAGGAAAACGAAATAAAGATAGTAAATCTGTGTTTTGTGATCAGTTTAATTTGACATGAACACGACAAACACGCTTTCTTGACAATCTTTGTGAGTAAAAAAATGTGTAGAAATTAAAACGAACAGCGTGTGTTATTAGGGAAATAGCGGGCGAGCGGTGTTGAAGCATGATTGCGCATGCGCCGTGAGCGGTTCTGATACATTTTGGGTCGCAGCTGCTCGCAGCACCGCTTCAACAGTGCGATACCATCATGAGGGACGAGTGAAATATTAAACACTCCAGAAGTCCGTGCGAGCTCACGATTGCTGATCGGTAGCTGGTCACGTGGTGTTAATCGCCTCTCGTAACCCCCTGCACACTACACGACGCTCAGCGCAAAACTCGCCCAGATCTCGTGGATTCTTGCACGAGTGGAAAAATCGTGAAAAATTTCAAAAAAGTGAAAAAGTCGCACAGTGTAGGCCCGGCTTAACTCCAGCAGATAAGATAAGACCATCCCCCAATAAACCCTCTCCTTGGGCTCTCCATATATTTAACTTTTATACAGACGACACTTTATTCACTTACTCAGTGATTTTTGCATACTTTACCGTTTTATTCATCTCAGTGTTTTTTGCATATTTTTTTGTTTTATCCATCTTCTTGCTGCTTTATTACTTCCTTATTGCCTATTTATTCAATGTTCGTATGTCCAACATCATGCTGCTCTGCTGTTTTTATTTTGTTTTGTTTATTTATTGCCCCTCGGGGATAAATAAAGGTTTTCTGATTCTGATGTAGATTCTAAAATCCCTCGAGACTTCCGACACCTTCCTCATCGAGAGATCACAACCCCCGCGAGGAATCACACCGCTGCACATCTCGAAAGAAACTGGTTGTAAACACAGCCGTTCGGTCACACGTGCTGACATAAGTTATACATAACATCGCAACGTTGCATTTTATTTTGAAAATAACCGGGGATTTTACACTGAAACTGTGTGGTTTCCTGTCTCGCACTACGTGAACTGCGGAAATTGATGTGTCCCAGAAGCGGCTCGCAGAAAAAATAGAACTCAATCCCATCTTCAGCTAGTTTGAAACACTCCATAGACTATAATTGGATTCTATTTGAAGCGGTGGCGCTTCACTGCCGTTCTGTTCTGCTGATGCTTGCAGTGTGAAACCGGGGTAACCCCTTCTTTCCACCGGAGCCATCAGCAGCACGTTACTGCAGCACAACGTCATAGCTGCTGATAGGAACCGCTGTGGTCAACAGAACCTTTTCCACCAGGTGACAAACGACCGCGATCAGCGAAATTTGTCGCCGTCGCTTTTATTACCTGACACACGCGTTCCGTGGCAGCGGCAAAGCCGTCTACGCGTTCTGTTCCATGGCGAAATTGAAACTTCCGTTGTTTTGTTTGGCTGTGTCAGGTTGGAGAGAATTAAGGTTATTTAAGCGGTTCAGAGTTTTAAAAAAAGCGGTAGATATGATGTTTCACAAGGTGCTGCTAGAGTTATGTGAAATCTTACTTCTGATTTTACTATATAACACATAATAATAATCAACTTTTCCATGTTTGCTCGGAGATGTATGGAGCATCCTGTCCGCTCATTGGTCAGTGAATGAAACCTCCGTTGATTGGTCCTCGTCCGAGCGACAGCGATGAAAAGTTAAAAATTTTTCAACTTTCTGGGATCGCGTCGCTGGGTCATCTGTGCACGACACGTGCACGAGCGCAAAATTTCACACGCACGTTTTTCGCGTTTCGCTTGGTAGGAGGGAGACCCGCGATTATCGCGCATGTCTCATTGAAAATGAATGGAGGAGAGGCGATGTCGCCTCCCGTGTGTCGAGCCCAAAAATCCTTTTTGACAAGGAATGGCTTCGAGAAGCTTATCCATGCATTTATAACATCTTGTTTAGACTACTGCAATAGTCTTTTCTTGGGTATTAATCATGGATGTATTGTTAGGCTGCAGCTCGTCTCCTGACTGGCACATGTAGGTTTGATCATATCACTCCAGTTCTTGCCTCTCTGCATTGGATCCCAGTTGAGATCCATGTGCAGTTTAAGATTTTGGTTTTAGCTTACAAATGTTTGAATGGACTTGCTCCTAGTTATTTATGTGAACTCCTCGTGTCATATGTTCCAACTCATGGATTGCGTTCAGCTGACCAGCATAGTTCGAGTGTACCGAGGTCAAGGCTACAGAAATGAGGTTTTAGATCTTTCTCTGTGGCAGCACCAACTGTGTGGAATATGTTGCCTATCTCTTAGGCAGGCATCATCTGTTGTCATTTTTAAAAAGCTACTGTAAACTTACTTTTACTCGACAGCTTTTACTTTTCCTAGTTGACTTGGTAGTCCTGTTTGTCATTTCTTATGTATGATTCTTTTTTCATGTGTTGTTTTTTATGTTGTATTGTGCTTTTACTTGACTGCTTATATTTTGAAATGTTTTTATATAACTATGTTCAGCACTTTGGGCAACATAGTTGCATTTAAATGTGCCATACAAATAAACGTGATTTGATTTGATCATACAGTGCCTGACGAGATTCTGACAGCTTCCACTGTTCTGGTGCTCAAAGATAAACAGTCACAGTCTCTTGGGAACACAACATCCATAAACGCAACACCTCTAAAAACAGCTTCAATAACAGTAAAATGTTCAATAAAACAAACAGAGCTAAAACGTGGCAGTAGAAAGGTCCTAATTTGTGACAAATAACGTAATAAAGCTTTGCTATCTGAGCATGCTGCCATCAACCTTAAAGGGCCACATATGACACTTCCACACAAGCATCAGCTCTATTCTACCTTGACCGGGTTTGGAGTCCTGCGCACAACCGGACATCTTTTCAGCCCTCTTCCCAAGGCAGTCTGCCTGGAGCCAAACTGGTCCAGCACACCTACTGCTGACTGATTGTCCGGTTCAAGATCACGACTACCATTAGGGGTAGCCTCCAATTGGCAGATGGAATCAGCCTGCAGGGGCTTCCCGCATGTATGATTCATTATCATTCTGGATGCGGTGGAGTCAAGCCTGATTAATAGTTGTCCATCTGCGCCAGTGCAGAGACACACAACACCATTATGCGTCGGCACAAGGGCTCTCCAACGGGCTCACAGTAAGTGACCGAAACATGCCCAAAATTTTAAACATCCGTCTGAAGTGATGAGACCGCAAGCTTGTGATTGGTCAGGATGCCACTTCCTGTAAATTTGTCACCAGCACAGCGGTTACCCCGTTAAAAAAAAGGTAAAAAGATATTTAGCGGCAAACACGGTAGACTGTAGAATGCATTGTGGAAAAAAATCCGAATATATGAATGTGACTAAAGGAGAGGTGAAATGCAAGCAGAGAAGTTTCTTACCTCCATTAACTGGACCTCCCCTCTCCTCCAGGCGCCGGGACAGCTCATCTTTGAAAGCCTGGTTTCTGTGTCTACGCCCAGCTGCCAGACGGTAGATTGGTCGATCTACTGGTCGAGCAACCTCCACCTCCTGAGTCATTTCTGCAAAGCGCATCACCAACTGCAACACACACACACACACACACACACAACAAGGCCCTGTTTAACCAAATTGGTGTCTTTTCTGTGAAGGATGAAAAATGTTTGGAAATAACTGAGAACGTTTTTTAATCTATCAAAAATAATCCTAGGAGTCTCTTTCATATCAATGAAAACACAAAACTTTCAATACTTTTTGGAAAAATGAGGAAAAACTGAACTTACCACAGTCTCTTCATAGTCGTCTGCTTTTGGGTTGACACACACAATCATCTTGACTTTACCTTCTCCGTCAAAGTAATTTTTAAAAAGATGTGTAACTTTAGAGTCTCTGTATGGCACCATCTGGATTAAATAAATACAATTAGGGCTGTCCATCTATGAAATAAAATATTCTACAATAAAGAAAACCACAGATGCTGAGACAGCAGTGATGGAATACCAACCTTGTTAGTACCACACATCTGATTTTCACGCAGGATCTCCATACAGGTACGCAGCGTCATCAGGGACTGGTTAATGTTACCTAGCAACAAGGCATTAAATAGGACAGAACAATGCATTGCTAACAATGCCCGAAAACTGTGAAATAACTAAAGAAAAAAAATGATACAAAGAAATGACCAGACCTGCTTCCCGAAGACGGCTTCCTTCTGCTCTGGTTCTGCTGGTGCGTTCGCTGCCTGCTAAGTCGACCAGACACAGCTGACTCACGTTCACCTGGTTTTTGTCCTGTTTTAAAAAAATGAACATTTAAATGACAGAATCTATGCCAAATTCACCTTTACTCTATTTTCTCCCTTATTTCAATCGTATGGTAAGGAGATGGAAAAACTGGATATTAGATTTAAAACACTGTAACAAAAATGTTACATAATTCACCTTCAAGCATGTTGAAAAGTGGTTTTATTTGTATATAAAAGAAAATGAAATAAAAACATATGTAACTTCATGCTTCTAATCACCTGCAGTATATAGTCACCATCAGCATCAAGCGGCGCCTGAGCCAGCTTCACTGTGAACACGCTGTGGGAGCGGCTGGATTCACGATTCAGCTGCGTGTTTGCGATTCTTCTCTTCTTTTGTCCTGAACCAACACACAATTTGTAACAAAAGCAACAGAAATATTAATCACCAAATCCAATTCTTTCTGCAGATTCAATGAAAGTGTTTGGCTTTAAGGTGAAAATTGTCATTAATACAACAAATGTGAAAAACTATTCATCTCCTCAGACTTCTTTTGATCACACCTAACAGTTTTTATATCAGTAAACATGTCTCAATATCAGATAAAGATTACTTTAAACATCTTTTGAACGTTAACTCTGTGTGCCTTTTTTTCCTAACTGCATTACTTGGTTCTTTTTCCAACACAGCAAAAGAGTCGTCTCCGTGGATAAACGGAGAAAGAAGTAACGCCCACAACAGCGGCAAGCTCTGGAAAAGGCTACAGCGTTAGCCGAAGCGTCAGCAAAATAAGGTAAAAGAACTTGTGTAAAAACAAAATGTTTTCAAACCAATCTGGCCCTGTGTGAAAAAGTTATTAATAACCATGTGTAACACCCTTGGCAGCAGCAACTTCAATCAAGCATTTGATTGACATTCACCTAAAATGCAGAAAACAAAACACTGCAGTGATAAAATATATCCTCTACCTTTCCAGAAGACTTCAAAAGCCTCCTCTGTGGACTTGACCTCGACCTCTGTGCAGCCTGCCACGTACATGTTATGATTCTGATCCTCCCGCAGAATCCTGGACTGAGGTGGTCTGAAACAAATCAGAAAGGAGACTCAACACAAACTCTGAAACTGCAAGGTAGGACTTTGAGAGCCAAGATGCAAAGATTAAACAGCTGGCGTCAGAGTCGGCGTTAGAGCAGACATTTGGGCAGATGCATGTAGATTCAGGCCAGGGGGAAGCTAATTCACAGAAAGATGAGCCATTCAAGAACATATTCTTGTCTTTGCATCAATAAGACAGCAGCCAACAAAACTCCACAAAGCTGGTTAGCTTACTTTACCAGGAGCTACATTATAGTGATGGAAATGGGACTGATGCTACAGCCAGGGCACGTCTGGGAACACAACAGAACCTAATGCAATTTTATTCACATACATGAACTCTTTGCTCCGTACAGGCGTGCCTCCATCGAGCCACCTATCAGAAACAGGATTCAACAACACAAAAACCTCCAAGCAAATCAGATAATCCAGCGTGGAAACACTTGGAATATTCCATAAACATTTACTGAACCATTTGTACAGATTATTCTTTGGGTGGTTGTCAAACTCTGAAGACATACAGACATTTTCATAATAGAAGAATCTTTGACATGACTTCAACACAGAACAATCTGAGACACGGCACAGCTGATCAGTGCTTTAGAGTCTTACTTGGGTCTGACTGAGTCAAATTGAGCATCTTCAAGGAGATCATAGATGTAGTTGTTGTAGATCTCGACGTAGGACACAAAAACACTGTAGGAACAATCTTCATCAATATTCTTGGATTTACGGGACTCCTCTGGGGTGATCATGTCTGCAAACTCCAGGTCAGCCTTTTGTCTAAAAACAAAGAGTTCCTTCCCGTTTTAGATGAAAATTAAATGAATAAAAAAGTAAATAAAACTTCCAGCTACCTGGAAGACGGCGTTTTGGGTACAGACTGTTGGCTGTCTCGCTTCTGTCTCTCAAGAAGGGCATCCACTTGGCTCTGGATGTCTATTCCATTTTTGTCATCTGGTTTAAACACCTGGTGGGTAGAGGAAACATTCATTTTCATCTTCCACAACACTTCAACCTTTGACAAAAAATAATGAAAACAATTAAATAAAGGAGACATGAGAGCAGCCGTACAAATCTTTTGGCCTGAAAAGGCCCGATGCTGTTGAAGAGCATGTCTAGAGATCGAGGGAGGAGCCCACCTTCCCCAGGTGAACCAGTCATGGTATAGGTCTTACCACTCCCAGTGACACCATATGTAAACAGCAGGCCTGGGGAAAAAAAAAAAAAACACAACAAAGATACATTAGAGGGTTTATTAAATGGTGATAAAACCGTTTTCATTCAACAGACAATTTTTGGTTTAGCAGGTTTAATTATTTGTTTTATTATCTGGATTGAGCCAGATTATAATCTACGTTATATCAGATGAGTTATCTTTACTTTTATTTCTGAGCATCACTTTAGATTTGTCCACAAGTGAATGAGCCATTCGTGTTTTTAACGTGAACTCACCATTTTTACACTGGATGAGGTCCTCTACCAGCGGCCTAGCAACATCCTCAAACAGCTCCATTTGACTGGTATTAATACCAAAAACCTTTGTGAAGGAGTACTGAGTCTAAAGGAAAATAATCACACAAACTGAATCAGAAAAGCTACCTAATGTGGTCAGGAGAGTTGTGAAGCAGAAACGACACACTTGCCTCCTTATATTCACCATTTCGATTGGCTTTCAGACCATCGGGTGCATGCAGTTGAATGGTGCTGCTGCTGATCATCTCAACACAACATTCCTCATCTTCAGCACCAAGTGGACGTATGCGACAGTAAACCTAAAAAAATAAAAACATCAGGTTCAGGTCCTCTTAGAATAAGCAAACTGTTATGATTTTGATTTTTGCCGTTTATTGTATGTTTACGGTCTAAATGATGATTACTGAATATCAAGATAAACAAAAACTAGATGAAACTTACTCCCACAGGGTCTTTCTCCACATTGTTCGTCTTCTTCAGGGCAGGCCTCCGAGGAGTCTTGCCTTTCCTGTAACAAAGAAATGAAATGAAAATTAGGGATGTGCAATATATTGGCATCAATATCGGTATCTGCAAATGTTATTTAACATATCGGTATTGGTCCGATAATGAAAACTGGACCAATATTAACAAGTAATATTTTTTCCATCTTGTTTCCATTTGTTTATTTGTTTCAGAGGGTGAGGGGAGTGATGTGTATTTGTTTAGTCATGTGACAGTGATTCTAATCATCTCAGAATAGTAAATGTGTGTGGTGTGTGTAAATAATAAAGTAAATTCAGCTTGAATAATTTTCATTCTATACAAAATCTGCTTTTAGAAGCATTAATGTCAGTATTGGTATCAGCAAATATTGATTATTGGCCATAACAGTGATATTAATATCGGTGCATCACTAATGAAAATCAAACTATTGTCTGCAGCTCTTCCCTGATTTTAATGCCAGTGACCTAGGCATTTATTTGGGGTTTAGGAACACCGACAGAAGCTTTGGAACATTTCAGGTTTTACATTACTGACAAATAAGGCCAATGTTGGAATCAGCAATATAAGAAACATGAACCAGACAATTAATTAGTGCTAAATAATTTTCTCCTAAGGCCCATAATAAATAAAAAAAAATACATTCATATATGTTATTGATATTGTGAGTCTAAACAAGTTGCAGAATGTTTTTCTAATCCTTGAAGTTCATTATCATGTATTTACTTCTGACATTTGAAGAAATCATAGTATGATATTTGATCTTTAGATATGACCTTTATGTTCTATCTAATCTACTTTTAAATATTTTACTGTATGATTGTGGTGAGCAGGCATAGTTTAACAGATTAAACAAGTATAAAAGGTGTAGGAGTTAAGAAGGAAAACATCTGATTAAATCTTACTTAAGGTTTTATTGTCTCACACTCCTTTTAGATGATTTTTCTAGTTATTTTTCGTCTCTGTTGGATTTAACTTTTTTCCCCTTTCCTTTTCTTTCATGTTCAAAATAAACATTTTACTCAAATAAAAACTATGTTAAAGTTTGAGGTAAATTTTAACATAAGACATATTTTTAAAGGATAAATGCATTGCTTGCTTGACTCAAATAATAAGATCACTAAAATCAAAAGCTAGAAAATCCAAGCATTTTCTCCTCGCTACAGGTTGTAAAGATAATTCTTAAACTGTACTTAACTATAAGGTTTCAGATTAATGTTCACTGCTCAGACATGATTGCTAGGTTAGCTCAGCCAGGTGTAACTTTCCATTGAGAAAATTACTCTAAATATACTCACGTTAAACTGGCTTCTTTATAACTAGCCATCGCTTCATATGTTTCAGTAAGCCGGTGTCGCAAACCACTGATGAAAACTACGTGGATATTAAACTTTTAATGTGCGAGGTGAGCAACTGCCATATTTATTTTTGCTACAGCGAAAAGCTAACGTCTGTTGCTGTCGTGAAGCATCGTCAACAATTTTCGGACCATTTTTTTTAAATGTCAACTCCGTAAGACATTGGAATTGTAAAATTAATACAAATTATATTTTATAAGTGAATAAAAATAGATTATTAATACTGACCATGCTCTCTGCATTGTTTATTATATCCGGCTTCTCTAAACTGCTCGCAGTAGCGCCTCGATTTGAAAATTCCCTCTAGTGAAACGTTAATCCGGAAGTCTTTCGCATTAACCAATCAGACAGCGCCTTAAAGCGGAAGTCCCGCCTACACCGTCAAATCAAGATCAGCTGGTTCCAGTTGATCTTGGTCTAGTAATTAGCTAGAAATGCAATTCCCTGAACTGCAACAAAAGCTTGTTAGTAAAATTGTTTATAGTTTTTACACATTTAATTTAAACCGTTTAGAAGCCAGCATTTTAGCCACCTTAACGAAGCTGGAAAAAAAATCCCAATCTTTATTGCTGTGGTCTTGTGGGTATATTTGAGAAAGGACCAGTACTCTATGAACCAGTATTAAACACTATGGATGTGTGCACCCAGCTCAACTAAGTTTAGTTCAGTTAAACAATTTAAAAATTTACATTTACCTCTCTATTTAAATGAAGCTAAAAAATTATCCTAATCTTTCTGTCCTATAGGGAGTATACTAGTAATACTATTAGTAATAGAGTAGAGGAAAGAGTGGAAGGAGAAAGAGGAGAGGGGATGTATAAAGCTCTTCTCTTTGCCATATAAACCACCTCACTGGGTGAGATCATTTGATCATGGCTTCTCCTACCAATACTATGCAGACGACACCCAGCTCTATCTGTCATTTCCACCGGATGGCCACGCTGTCTCTGCACGAATATCAAACTGTCTCTCTGACATGTCAAAATGGATGAAATCCCACCATCTCCAACTCAACCTCTCTAAAACTGAACTACTTGTCATCCCAGCAAAACTATCTCTGGCTCCTTCAAAGGCAGTTCGAAATCTGGGAGTTGTGATTGATGAACACTTGACCTTTAAAGATGCCTCTGTTGCTCGTTCATGCCGCTTTGCACTGTATAACATACGAAAGATCAGATCATACCTAACACAACATACCACCCAGCGCCTGGTGCAATCTACTGTAATCTCCCGCCTCGATTAATGCCCTTCTAACTGGTCTTCCAGCCTGTACTGTGAGACCTCTTCAAATGGTCCAACGCAATGGCGCATCTGGTCTTCAGTCAGCCAAAAAGAGCACATGTCACCCCTCTGTTCACTGAGCTCCACTGGCTACCGCTAGCTGCACGCATCAAATCCAAATTGCTAACACTAGCATACAAAGTCCGAGATGGTACGGCTCCCTGATGATAGAAGTTGAAGTACGCTGCTGGGTATTGCATCAAATATAATGGCATAGTCTTTGGTTGGCACAGGGAATTGGTAAAGAGTCATGAATTGTGAGTATGACAGTAAATTACCATTTTCATCCAGCAACTGACTGACCAAGATTATGCCTTTATCATACAATTTTTTACTGAAAAGTGTTTTATTCTTGAATTTAATATCATTATTGTTCTAAATGTAATATTTGTGAGATGAAAAGTTGTGTTTGTACATGAGTGACCAGCATAGTAACATTTGCTTGTGATAAAGTGATAGTTTCAGCGGGATTTTAAGCTCGTTGTAGTTACATCTTAGTAAAAATGGTAAACCACCAACCGTATTAAAAATGTATAAAGGTATTGCGTTCCATATGGAATAAGGATTTTTTTAAAAGGTTTTTAACGTATTTGATTTTTATAAGTAGTGTTTAGCGATGAAAAATCTAATGCATCAATTCCGCCTCTGTCCGGCCTATTCATCATGACATCTTTTTCATGAGATGGCATTTATTTTTCCATATAAAGTTGAAGATTAATTTATCTATATTGGCACAGCATTTTTGTGGGACCTCTAGAACAAGAGCCGTGTAAACTAGTCGAGATAATCTTTCTGCCTTTGTTATCAGAGATCTCCCAGCAAGCGAGAGGTCCCTCTGGAGCCAGAGGTTAATCTTTGTTCTACAGATTTTATCAAGGGATTAGTTTTCTAATGATCTTATACCTTCATTTTTTTTGCATGATTATTCCTAAGTATTTAATAATGTTTTTTACTGGGATGCCGTATAACTCTTTTTCAGAAGTAGTTTTAAGGGGCAGTAGTTCACTCTTGCTAATATTTAACGTTAATCTTGAGGCCTTGGAGAATGAACTGATAATGTCAAGGGCTTTTTTAATTTCATTTTTGTTTTTCAGAAAGAGGGCTGTATCATCAGCGAGTTGGGAGATGATAAAGTTTCTATTAGCCATATGTATACCTTGTAAGTAACTTTTTTTTAATAATAGTCGATAAGATTTGCATTGCCAATATAAATAAGTAGGGAGAGGCTGGGCAGCCTTGTCTAAGGCCTCTTTTGATATAAAATCTTTTGGAGCCACCACTGGTTAGTTTTATAGTTGCGTTGCTATTGTTATAAAGCATCTGAATATTTTTTATGAATGGTTCTCCAAAGCCGAATTTTTCTAGCGCTTTAAACATAAAATTGTGTTCTATTGTGTCAAAAAGCTTTAAAGAAATCTAAAAATAAAATAAATCCATCATCTTCAGTTAAGTCTGAATAATCTAATATATCTAGTCTGATGTTATTGGTTATGTGTCTTCCCGTAACAAAGCAGGCTTTGGGTTTCATCAATAATTTCATCAAGATTACTTTTGAGTCTTGCAACTTGCAATTATTTTGCAATCATTTTGAAGTAGGGTAATAGGACGCCAATTATCTAATATTAATTTGTCTTTGTTTGGTTTAGGGGGTAAGGTTAGGCCAACCTTACGGCCTTTGGGACATTGTTGGAGGAGGTGCTCCGTATTCCAAGCTTTCGACATAAACTTTGTATAAGAATGGTGATAATTCCTTGGAATATTTCTTGTAAAACTCTGTAGTTAGCCCTTCCGTGCCCGCAGGTTTATTAAATTTTAGTTTGTTAATGGCAATTTCTATGTCTTTGCTAGTGATCTGGGAGTCACAATCTTTTTGGGGGGATTCACTTATTTGTTTAATATTATTTAAGGAATTCATAAATTGATCCACTCTGTCATCTGAGATTTTTGTCTTATAAAGATTTTTGTAAAAATGTTCACAGAATTCTGAAATTTGAGTAGGATCTTCTTAAATGTTATTATCTATTTTCAGTTTTGTAATTGAGTTGTTTTTTTGATATTGTTTCTCTAGTTTAAAAAAGAAAGAAGTATTTTGCTCACCCTCTTCTAGCCATTTCTTTCTTGAGCATATAAATGCTCCTTTACCTTTAGAGATATACATGTTGTCAAGATTAATTTGTAAATCCTTTAATCTAGCATGGTCATTTTCTGATAGATTTTCTGGTAAAATATAACTTAGCGATATGTTATTTCCTTTTCTTTTAGGACTTTTGCATGCTCTGTGCCTGCTTTCATTAATATTTTCCTTAATTCATATTTTAATAATTCCCTGTTATTTCTGAATGAGTTTTGAGAGTATGCAATAATCCAGTACTTTTCTATTGTTTCTTTAATATTTTTCCCTAGTTCGGTTTTTTGTAAGAGTGAATTATTAAGTTTCCAATTTGTAAAAGTCCTGTTTTCATTGAGAGGGCTTGAGTTATTCAGATCAAGGGTAATTAATTCGTGGTCTGAAAGAGGTGCAGGTATAATGTCACATTTTATTTTCTTTGCTATGTGGTCTGCTGTTAACCAAAAATCTATTCTTGATTTTTGATGAGCCGGATTTAGTTTGCCATGTAAAGTCAATTTTATCTCCGTTAGCTTTTCTCTATATATCTATCAACCCAAATGTGTACATAAAGTTGCTTAAGCTTGCGTCTGTGGTTGAATTTTTGCCAGGAAATCTATCTATATTATCATTAAAGGTACAGTTGAAATCTCCACCCAATATAATGTAAAGATTTTTCTATGTTTTTGATAAATTAGTTATTTTATTTTCCAGGATATCAAAGAGTTCAGAATTTTCCTTTTTCGAATTGTAGCCATAAACACACCCTATAAGGTAAACGTTTTCATCTAGCATTAAAATTAAAAGTATGTAATGACCATTTGCATCTGAGGTAGAGTATAGAACCTTCCCACTTGTTATGTTTTAAAATGGCAACACCTGCTGACTGATTTGAGCCATGAGAGAGCCATATCTCATTTCCCCACTGTGTTCTCCAGAAGTTTGCATCATTAGTTACAGAATGAGTTTCTTGAATTAAACATAAATCCGCTTTAAGCTGTTTAAAAAACTGCCTTTGTTTTAGTGTTATCTTTTAATCCTCGTGCGTTAAATGAAACTAGTTTTAAACCTGAAATGTTGTCTTATAACGATAGAACGTTTATGTAGATATAAAACAAAAACTGCTAAGTGACAGGCTCCTATAACAAAAACATCGATTAAAGTAATTGAGCTGCATTTAAATGAACTATGTCTTTTCATTTTAACACTAACCAGCATTGTTTTGTGTATTCTTCCCCACAACTTTTTACAGATGTTTGGGGCATAGAGTTCTCTTTTTTCCCTCCTCCGTCGATGAAGAAGGCCTTGGCTCCCACAAAGAAGGCCACTTTCCCTTCTTTTCGTGCTTTCTCGACCATGGGCCATATCAGGCTTCTTTGAAGGCGATCCTCAGGTGAAAGATCTTCCTTAAAACGTAGATTCTCTGCCTTTAGGAAAGATGATTTTTTGCGGCCTTCCGTACCGCATCACGATGGTGTCTCATGGAGATCTGGATGACGATTCCTCGAGGACGTCCGTCTTCAGCGGCTCGACCCATACGATGAATGCCGTCGATGACATCTGGGTACTTGTCTTTGAAGCTAGGCTCCACTTTCTGACAGATAGTGACAACTTTGGTTCGGATGTTTTCACCTTTTTCTTCTTTCAGGCCAAACAGACGTAGGTCCCATCTTCTTTTATATCTAGATAACTCGAGTATCTTGTTTTCCATTTCTTGTAGTTTTTTCTCAGTTTTGTTAACTCTGCCTATGGTTTCCGCCATTTTACTTTTCACGTCTTTTAGCTCGGAATGCACAAATTCCACAGACTCTTTTAGTTCACTTATACTGGTTTGTAAACCATCCGCTCTTTCATTTATGATCCCTGTTATTGAGGCGATTATATTCTCAGCAAAATCGTCATCATCAAGAGTCTTGCGGTTTTTGCTGAG